ATGTCTTCAACCCAACTTATCAAATCCATCAGCTTGTTGTGCTTGGTTAGATCAAAGCCTGCCAGCTTTCAAACCATGTCAGAAGCTCCATGAACTGGTTCATATTTCTCGCTGCAAATTTAAACTTGATGTGCAATGTCTCACTGTCTTAAGAGATCATGTAGTTTAAGCTGGTAGTACTTCATATTCTTTGTGTGGTAACGAAGTGCATTAAGCTACAAATTCCACCTTGTAAGTACTGGCTCTTGTGGAACTGACAGTCACGTGTAGATCCCCGCTTCGATTGGTGATGGACTTCGGGTGTCGAAGCTTATAGCCTGTGCAATGTTTGAACACTTTTTAAAATGAGGAAACCGCGTTATCCGCATCAGGAAAACATATGCACCAGATGTCACTTACTAAAGAAAGGACTGCAGGTGATGTGAATTGTGTTGGGGATCATTCCATGGAGAAAGCTTTGCACATATACATAGCACTACCTGACAAACACTGAGATTTTGTTAAATTCTAAGCCATAGTTTACAACAGCCTTCACTACAGCTTGTTACACAGTAGAAAGTTTGACAGATGTGAGATGAACTGTCTCTTGTTTGAAAAACAGGCAGGTTGTGGTCTGTTCAGCTCCCAGGTACAAATAAAATGTGCAGAACAGTTATCTTGGGCATCTGTTGCTTCTTCTGCTACAATCGAGATTGATTCATATTCTGCCAATGCACATTTTGTAGACTGAACATGCAAAGCAATTACTCATGGTAGATAATCTTGGCAAAGTTTATTCACACATGGGAAACTGCTAGCATTTGGCACATGTTTGTTCAAGTAGCCCCTTAATTTAGTGTTATCAATTTTCTACAAGGAATGTTGGAGGTTGTGAATGCTTCCACTGCTGCAAATGCAGCCTCTCTTCTTGTCAAACTGTTTTCAATTGTTCTTTTAAAGACTGAGTACATAGTTATTTGTTTCTTGCTCTAATCCTCAGCTTCCGCAGTGGCCTTTTGGTTTATATGTGATTTGGACTCCAAATGCCAATCAATTGCTTTTCCTTGACACATCCAGAGGTGCACTGCATGATGAACAAAACAATTTACCATCATCTGCATGCAAGGTTCTTATAGGGAACTGCCTTACATGATCCTGAGCTGAAATGCATTTAGATTTCTTGGATTTATTTTCATACATCTTCAGACTGCAGCACTGCATCTGGCTTCTTAAAAGATGGCACTGAAACTCTTTAGATTTCCTGACTGGCATCTTCACTGAGCCTACATCACTAGGCTCAGCCTCTCAGTAGCTGCCTCTCAGGCCATGTGCTCTATGGCTGGAGCGACTGCTGTGTTTTTTGCATTGCACAATTCTGTGCAAAATTGCAGGAAATGTCATTTTTCATGGTGATTGCAAAAGCTGCCTTTTTCATGGTTTCCGTGAAAATCGCAAAACTGTGATTTAATAGGTCCCTATTAATGACTAAAACACTGAATCCTAACCTTGTTAAAAGCAGTAGCTACTGTTTTGGATTAGTCTGGTCTTCAAACTGCCAATTTTGGTTCAGTAAATTTTATGAACATCTGTAAACCATTCTATACAACTGCACAGAAAGAAACTGGCATTTGAACATTTTATAGAGAAGCAAGGAGTTACGATCCTTCCGAGTATACTCAAGGTCAGAGAGTTCTGACATACATCAACTACAAAGATCTAACAGGGACAGCATTGATCAGTCTATCAGTGAGGTTCTAGTATTTGACCGATTTGTGGGACAAAAAATACTGGTCAGTCCAAGTATTTATTGCTATACAGAATTCCATGGGCAGCAGCCATGCTTTCAAGAACTGTAAAAAACCTGAATATTAACATTATATTAATACTGTTCAATAGAAAGATGACTCTCAAATACATCCAACAAACACAATTTTCTTTAGATTTTAGACAGTATAGTTTTGAAGATGTTGCAGCACAAAAATATTTCACTCTTGGTTAATGGGTCAGATTTTCAGTCCTAATAGATGCTGGGTACGTTTTTCACAACATGCTTAGTCATTAGACAGTTAAGACTAGGTGGGGCAAATGGGGCACCAGCAACATCCTGCAGAACTTTGCACCCCTGCTATCTGGTGTCCGACAGCATCTCTGCCCAAGACGCCAAAATTGCTAGTTCCACCTCTGTCAATGGCAAACAGTAAGTGAAACAAACGTGAGAGAATGGCTAAAAGGCCAAGGTTGTTTGTATGCAGACCACCTCAAGGAAGTGGAAAGAAGAGTCTCCCTGTTAACACAGACTGTACAGCCAAATGCTGCAGTTTTTACTCAGACAAGCTCTCACTGATACCTTGCTTCTCTCTCTGTCTCTCTCTCCCAAGTTGATGCTGTTTCACATACAATTTCTAACACTAATCCTTCAGGGCAGCTGTTGAAAACTGACTTGCAAAAATACAGAATGTTTCCAACGACAGAGTCATTACTGAGCATCATAGTGATTGCCTTTCCCACCCCCATTCCCATAGGGTTAGTGAATGGTAAAGCCATAATTGAAAGAAGTGATGTTTAGTGTTTTAAAATGTAACTTCAAAAAATGATGAATATTATTAAATACTTAAAACTCTCATTATATCATCTCCATTTGGCACACAGTAGGCACATCTACATGGGCACTAATATGCCTTTTCTAATGTGCATTAAATTTAGTACCACCTGGTGGGTGTCTCTAGTTGTGCTGTGAGGCTGCTTTGATGCACTGTAATTCCAGCGCGTACGAGAAGATTTAATTAATAGAGTCTGCTGGAGTGTGGTAATTATGAGGGATCTGAGTTCCCCATTTCCCAGGGAAAAACGTGGTAAAACCCAAATTTTCTCATTTTAAAGAGAAAACCCTGGATTTTTGCCTTTAAATGAGGAGAAAAAACCACAGGGAACAGTGAATTTCCCCTTGCAGGCTGGCAGAGTTCCAGCCTGCAAGGGGCTGGGGGAATGGGAAAAGGGTGATCTTTAGGGGGGCACTATGTGCATGAATACATGCACATGGCCACCAGTCAGCCTGAAGGGCAGCTCCCACAGGAAGGTCTTGAGTGGGGGGAGGGCCCTATGGTGAGGGAGGGAGGGATTTGGGCAGGGCTGGGGTTGCTGCCCAGCTGGGGCAATGCGTGGGGCTTGGGGTGCAGGATCAGAATACATGGTTGCAGGGTCACAGGTGGGATGGGGCTGCGGGCAGCTTGTCTGGGGGGAGGGGGATGACTCCCTGCTGCTGCTGCGTGCACTGCTGGGGAGTACATGGGGGGCATGTACCCTCCATATTTGTGTGTGGGGCAGGGGCAGGCTGGACCTTGTGGATTTTAACTCTTCTTTTTAAAAGAAGAGAATTTGTGGTTTTTAAAACAGAGAAAACTAGGATCCCTGGTAACTACCATTCTCCAGCCAGCCTCCGTATCACATGGATCAGCATCTCCGTGCTTCAAAATGGCAGCAAGGATGCTTAAGCTAAAGCTTATCAAATAAGCTTTAGTTCGAGCACCCCCTCTGCCATTTTGAAGTGGGGGACACTGATACACAAGACACTGCAGTGCTTTAATTACAGCAGCTCTTGGAGCTGTTCCAAGTAGTGTCCCCCCCTCCCCGGAACATGTACAAGTGCTTTCCAACATGAGGTACTAAATTAATGAGCATTAGGCTGCGCATTAGCAAACTTGCATGCTTTTTTTTTAGTGATGCTTAACACGCAGCAGAATATTTTATTGCGTGTTAGCAGTGTCAGTTTTTCACATAACGCTTTAATGCACAGTAAAATAGTCTAACTGCATATTAAAGCATGTGTAGACACGCCCAGTATATTATACATTTGCACTTGTCCACTAAAGAGAGAGTTATGTAGTCAGCTTTCAGCAACCTATTGTGAGCAAATGCATTTCACACTGAAGTATTAACAAGAGACTGACTTAGTTCAAATGCATATCCCTAGAGATGTCACAGATACTCACTGATATGAAACTATGCTAGATGAACTGTAAATTTTAATGCAACCTCTTTTTGATACCATCTAAACAATCTCAATTACTTTTGCAAATGACCAACCTGCATTAAGTAAAATGTTTTTTCTATTCCCCAGAATAGATATGTCCCTTGGTGTTTAGCCATAGGAGGATTCAAGCCATTTTAAGTCTTGTAAGATCATGGCTTTAGGTTCAGGTGTCTCCTGTGGACAAAGAGCAAGCTAAGCCACAGAGTGTCTTGCAGAGGAATTGTGGGGGGGCAGGGAGAGGAGAACGTGTTCCAGAATTTCACAAAGAAAAGGAAAGTTTCAAACTTCATTTTACCTCAGAGAAAAGATGCTACAAAAGGCACTTCCACTCCTTGCTGCATTAGCTTATGATGTTGTAAATGTTCAGCTAGGGAGAGGTACAGACAAGACAGAGCACCACTGCCACAAAGTTAAAAATGCAGTCACTTGAACACCATCAGCAACATATTTAAAGGTGTCACATGTGAGCACTTGTTTCCCTTTCAATGCTCATGGGAAAATTGGCTAGGATACTGGAAATCTGATCAGCAAGTTGTTTCTATTTTTTCCTAGCCAGATAGAGTTTTTCACTTTCTTTAGACCTGGCAAGAACCCCAAGCTCCCCTCTACCTACCCATCCAGTCCTTTTGTAATTCTACAGTAGTGGCAAGAAACGCCAGCTAATTCACAAGATTGGCTTCCTCCAGTGCAAACTCAGAAATCGGCCATTTAGAAAATATGCCAAAATAAAGTTTTAAAACTGTAAAAACAAACAAACAATTTTCAGATGTCCTTTCTAACACTGGCATTTTCCAGACATTGGAAGTTAATTTTTTCCCCTCTCTGAATTAGAAAGAGATATGAAGAAGCCCCAGCATGTCCTAAAATATTTATGTGGAAGCAGTTTTCCAAGTCCTTAGTGATATTTACTTACTGATACCTTGACATTACTATTCAGGTGCGAGGAGCATTTATACTGTGTGTATATGTTACAGCAGTACAGTAAACTTACAGCAGCTGTGTTCTTCACCACATGTCCTACAATTACAACAACTCTTCCTTTAAAGCTCTGGAGTGTAGCAGTAGCAGGGCACTGGATGAGCTCTCCTTCTGTTGTGAAAGCCAAACCAAATGAAATGTTGATGCTGCCTGAAATGTGGCCACGGTTAAAGCTGAAGGAGAACACAGTTAAGAAAAAACACAATGGAAAAGATGTTCTAGATATACTCGCACTTTCTGTACAGCACCCTAGCACAGCATTGTACAGTGCCTACCACAAAACAGATGAAGACATTTCAGCCACTGAAAGTCAATGGGAGTTATATGCAAGCATTTTAATTAAGAATTTGTACTATGCAGTTTTTGACCAAAGTGCAAATAATGAACTTCCTTCTTCACTGCTACTGCCAATGATGAAGTAATTAAAACAGAAGCTGCCTCCTTTTAAGAAGTCCCCTCCTCTGCCTGATGTGACACAAACCAATTTATTCCTTTTGGGCTAACGCACATTGAGAATCGCAGTTACTGTTTATTCAAACTGAAAATAGCTGCTAGCTCACGTGAAAACTAACAGGGCAAAGATTTATTTGTGGTTTTATATAAAAAAAAGACAGGTAGAATTATTTCCAACACTGCAGTGGTCAATGTGTACATAGATGCACAGTGAAAAGAAAAATGTAGGGCCCTGGCACACACTAGATTTAAGACATAGGTATGGTGTAAACTGTGCCATAAATAACAACCTGGCCAAATGTTAAAGCCAATTTAGGACATGACAATACAGCAAATGTGCCACAAGGATGCTCCACATATAAGGTGGAACATCTTCGTGGCTTGTCTGTATCAGGCGTTAAATTGAATGTATGGCATGTTGTGGCTGACCCATACCAAATCTCACTGCTCAGCTGAGTGCAGAGATGTGGCATGGGGCAGCTCTAGGGGTCCAGGATATAGCTATCCATCACCCAACCAGAGGGACTGAGTTGGGGGCAGCACTGAGTTCTGGATGCAGTGATGCCACCCAACTCCCAGAGGCAGATCAGGGGGTGCCACGAGCTCAACACCAGGGAGCATTTTCCTCATCTAAGGCTCGTTGTGCCCAAGGCCTTTAAAAAGCAGGTATACTGCTTGAGAATCCAGGTGCATACCCGCTTTAAGTTCCTGGGGTGCCCACAGAAGTAGCACATGGGGAGCTGGAGCATCACAGCAGGGGTGTGCGAAACAGGCCCTATTTGATTCCGGATTCGTTTGGATTTGATTAGTCTATTTGAATCACTGTCCCTGATTTGATTCAGCTGAATCCAAATCTGAAGATTTAATGTCGATTTGGAGAATCAGCAGTTTGGTCACAGACACAGCTTTAAATGTTTTTTCTACATATCTCAAGGTACCAGGCACGGCTCGTGAACACTGCAACGCTGGGGCAGATGGAGCATCCCACAGAAGTAGCATGGGGGCCCCCAGCATGCTCAGTGGTGAACCCAGAAGTGGACCAGAAGTACTTTTCCCACCAGCCACTTAGGGGGCTTGAACTGGGTTGGGTACAGTCTTGGGCTGGTAATGACAATTAGCTGATTTTTGCCTCGGGTCCAACAATCAGCTCATTGTCAGCTCTAAGCACAGACCATACTGGAGCTGGCTGGAGTCCCTGATAGGGTCTAGGGGCCAGCTGACAGTCAGCTGACTGTCAGCCAGGATAGACCTGTGGGCACTCTTCTTTCAATCTGCCAGTGCAAGATTATAATCCTGGGGTCCCCCTGCACTGGCAAGTATTAATGGTGTGATTTAGATCTGATCCTCAGTCCCAACAATTATGCTTCTGCATGTGTGGCATAGTAGGAAATGCAGTTGTTGGGATCAGGGATCAGTTCCCACTGTGCCAGTGACATGAATGTGTGCCAGGGGTCTTACGTTCATGAACACATCATCTAGCCTTTTGTCAGCCTGACATCCTTTTAAAGGTTTAATTATTTAAATAGCCATGAAATTTTTGCATCCACAAACAACAGATACTTTGCCCTGGCTGCAGTTTAATATTTAGTACCTGGAACACAAAGCTTCTTGTACCAAAAAATGAGAGTACTGGCAATTGCCTGTGTGAAGTTGTGTGTTTGTTGGTCATTGATACAGTGCCAATCACTGCTATGAACTGAAGTTATTATTTTTTTTACTACACCTTTTTAACCTCAAAAATATAGACATTTGAATACAATGACAAACTTCTCCTCACAGACAGGGTAAAAGCACATCAAAAGGATTAGAAACTGAGTCCCTCAAAATCTATATCTGCATTTATATATTGGAAGGCAATACACATGATAGGTTGTAATCTAAAAAGTTTCTTCTAAACTTTATCAAAAGCCTCACTCACACCTGGTCAGCATGTCATATTCCTGCATTTAAGTCCATTAGTCTTCCTATTCAGAAATGGTCTAAAAGCCTAATGCTGAGTTCTTTTAAAAAAGGATGAGCATTGTCTCACTAACAATGGAAACTTGCTCAAAACTCAAACTGAAGTTAAAGAGTTCATGTAATCTATTACTGACTTATTAAAACTTTCACAGGCATCTCTTTCTCTTGCATACGAACATGGCAAGACTTTTTTTTTTTTTTTAAATGTATAGCAGTCAATTTGTTGGGTGGAAAATACTGCAAACAAAGTATTCTGATGATTAGTCACTCAATTATACTTACAGAAGGCTAGTAAATTCCAGGATTTAATTAAAATGAGTTGGCTTGGAAGGCATTAAGATTAATCTACTTAGACTAAGACTAGCATAATTTTTAAAAATGTGATTAAGTGTGAACAGATGAAGCTTGATTGTCATTATGATGTGGTGGGAAAGTACAGCAAAACAAAAATTTCTGTAAGATTAATGAGAGAAATCTCACTAATTACTATAGGTCATTTGCCTCTAATTGGAAGGCAAAAAAGACTCCCTCTTCCCCAAGAAAGGTACAAAAAGGCTCTGATTTATAGCTCTAACTGGATACATTACTGCTACATAGGACATTTTTTTTTTTTAAATAGGAGAGTTTTTTTTCAGAAGAACATGATTTTATTTATACTGAGCATGATAAGATACTCAGTTCAAACGCCCTAACCTTCTGACAGGGTAAATAAATTGACTTGTACTTAGGGTAATGACATTAGTATCCAACTATGCAGGCTTGCTATTTTTTGTCATTTGTATTCTTTCTAATCTTAAATGACCATCTTAACCATTCCATCACTAAGATAATTACAAAAGGCAGAGATTTTGTGCAACAGACTTAAAGAACATGGAGTACTTAGCTAGCTAACTTTCATAAAAGGAATGGAACATTGCCAGTATTTCTGCCAACATACTTAATGAAATGAGGCTTAGACAGAACTGCTGGCTTTCAACTGCAAACAGAGACACTACTTAGAATATATTACATTTTCATTAAAAAGTCTTCTCTTGTAAAACTATCTGGAAAAGGAACCGTCTCTAGACCTTGTGCTCACAACATGTACCTCATTACAATACAGCTGTTCCTTCATTTCCAAGTACAGCCTAACATGCAAACCATGCTAAAGACCCTTTAAAATGGTACAAGCAGGACACCTGTTTAAAATTTTTCAATTTATATTACTACATGGTTTCTCACCAAACTGTGTTAAAAGCAATTGGGCTTCTTCTTTTTTTTTTCTTGTGGAAGTATGAAGGTGTGAGACAAAGGATACCACAGGTGGAGTAAAGTATTAAAATGAAATGGGATGGTATTTACTTGTTGGCACACTAATTAACATGGAGTTCACTTTTTAAAGAAATACCATTTTTACGTGACTCCAAGAGGAGATTCCCCACCTTCCCCCACAAATCAACATGGGGGGGGAGGGGGAGTCTTATTTTGGATTCAAGTACCAACTGGGGCAGGTGGCTGCTGAGGCTCTGGCACGGGGCCCAGAGCTGGAACCCCACCTGCCCTGGGCTGGGCTGGCTGAAGCCGTGTGGCAAGTGGCACACAACATGGGGAGCGCAGGGGAGACAGAACAGTGAGGGGGAGAGGGAAGGACAAGGGACATCTGTGGGGAGGGCATATGGGAAAGACCTGCAGTGTGTGCAAGGCTCAGGGGGAGTGTGGGGGAGACTGAAGCCAGTCAATCCTCCCTACCCACCCCCCTCTACCGCTTAAATTTCTGCCTCAGCTGTGGCTCCAACCAAGACCCCAACCTAACCTGGAGCTGCAACCATTGTTTTTGCCTTGCTGCCTGCCCCAGAGCTAGAGATCCTGCAGAAGGTAATCAGGGTTGGGGAAGGGGCAAGTGGCTGAGGAGTGGGCAGGGGCTGGGGGAGGCAGGCAGACAACAGGCATGGGAAGGCAAGGGGCTGGACGTCTAGCTACCTGCCTCCCACCCCTACACTGCTTTTCCTGCTGCAGCGGTTGTGAGGGATAAATTTAAGATCCCCCCCCCCCCAATAATTAGGTGGAAAATTATAAGAAATGTATCATATTCCATGCATAGAATGTAATTGGGGGGTGGGGGAGTTTCATCTAAAATTCAAAATAGTCTTGGATTGTAGGTAAATATGGTAGTAATGCATAAAAGGAAGAACAACTGCATAACAATTTTTTGGTATGTTCACATGATCACAGCTGGAGACTGAGTACCTCAAACCCACTAAAAGAATATGGGAAACTATGACCACGTCTATACAACAGTTTTATCAGCCCCAGCAACACTACCTCCAAACATGCTGCTTTACTCTGGGCAGAATGCCTCCTAAACCAAACACTGTGCAGCCATTGCCAAAGAGGCAGGCTAAATGACATTGTTACTCAACAATTAACCTGCCTGCATGGTGTCAAGGATTTGTCTCTGCTGCTTTCTGTTTAGGAGGCAGCCTTCTTGCTCCAGTGCAGTGTGTATGGGTACATCACCATCAGGAATGGTCGGTTTACAGTACGTCTAGCCCAGTGGTTCTCACAACCTTTCTAGATTAAAGGTACCCCTTGGACTTAAAATAGAGAAATACTTCTGTTGTAGAGAACTCAATGAAGATAACAGGTCACAATATTTTTGACACTATGAATCCTTATTTGAAATTTCTGGGTTTGTCTTGCGAATCATGTGTAGGTGTTTGCGTACCCAACAGTGCCAATATCACATGGCACCATTAAAAGGGTCTCTTGGCACCCTGGGTTG